CCACGAGGCAGGGGGCATGCCCGGGGGGCGCCTTCCACCCTCATGACCTCCACGGCTGTTCCTTGGAGCAGGCTCCAAGTCTCCTGGATCACGTTCGGTGAGAAAATCATATTCCCGAAAGTTTTATTCTGTTTGGACTCCGTTTGATATTCTGTTTCTTCGAAATACTGAAATAGGCAAAAACAGCAATTTTGGGCTGGGCCTCCGGTTAATAGGTTAGTCCCAAAAATAATATGAAAGTGGAAAATAAAGCCCAATATAGTCCAAAACAGTAGATAAAGTAGCATGGAGCAATCAAAAATTATAGATACGTTGGAGACGTATCAGGCTGCCTACAAATGATTAAAAGTATCAAAATCTAAGATGTCATTCCCACAGATACAATACTAAGGAAGTTACCTGTGAATCAAGGAAGCGCTTTGGTCTGCCTCCATGAACTCCACCTGCACCCGAGCTTCGTCTTTCTCCTACGAGGAGCTCCCTCAAGGCGGGCCGACTCTTCACGTGGACATTTTGAATGTAGTCCCTTTGGAGAAAAAGTCGGAGGACCAAGGGCAGAGGACCAGGAGCTCGTTTTCGAGTAGAGGTAGAAGGCTTTACCGATGAGGTCGGTCGTGTCCCTGGTTCATCGGGAGTGACGGCCACCCTGGATCCATCAAGTCTCTCCAGATAAAATTTCCTCTCTTCATATATAAGGGCCAGTTCTTCATCTTCATGGAAGACGGGGTCCTCTGCTCGACGGTGCATCTCTTGTTCAGACGCATGGCTTCTTAAAGTCTCGACCCAACGCCTCCATCTCTGCTCAGATTCAATGACAGGACAGACAGAAGAATTGACCAAGGAACAACTCAGATAGATGAGGAAATCTAGGAAAAATTACTATGTCGACGGGGTTGTAGTAAGATAACCCATCTCGGAATTGCCGCCTAGCAAAATCCTTTGTTGACCCCTGGTAAATGCCGGCCAGTGCAGCCCCGAAGGCTGTCTGGTCATAGAAGGTTTTTAGAATTGATCAGGACGCATCTTTGATCCCGTTGTACATACACAACGGGTGTTGGCGCTGCCGAAGAGGTTGGAATCTTCAGTTGATCACCGTGGCCATCACATCTATCATGGTGAGACCAGTGCCTGATAACCACTTCACATGAGCCACCAGCTTGACTACTGATATGTCTCTAATGTATCTACAGTTTTTGATTGTTCCATTCTACTATAGTATCAATCTTGGATGTTTTATAAAGATTTACAAGCAACAATATATCATTTTTGGGGACTAACCTAATAACTTAGTGCCCAGTGCCAGTTGTTGTATTTTGTTTGTTTTGCAGAATATCAGTACCAAACGAATCCCAAATGCCACAAAACTTTTTGGACATTTTTTTGGCAATAAGAGACCTTGGAAGCTTTGGGAGGGGACAAGAAGATGAAGTAGTAGCCCACAAGTCACCAGGGCGCGCCCAAGGGGTAGGGCGCGCCCTGGTACCTTGTGGGGCCCACTAGCCTACGTTTGACCTAACTCTACCTCTATAAATTCTCAAAAATCAGGAAACCTACCAGGGAGTCCACGACATAATTTTTCCACTGCTGCATGCCTCTGTTCTCGAGAGATCCCATCTGGGGACCTTTTCTGGCACTCCGTGGAGGGGGATTCAACCACGGAGGGGCTCTACATCAACCTTGTTGCCCTTCTGATGATGTCTAAGTAGTTTACCACAAACCTACGAGTCCATAGTTAGTAGCTAGATGGCTTCTTCTCTCTCAATATTCTTCAATACAATGTTCTCCTTGATGTTCTTGGATTTCTATCTAATGTAATTCTTGGTTTATTTGTGGGGATACGATGAATTGTGAGTTTATGATCAGATCTATCCATGAATATTATTTGAGTTTTCTCTAAACCCTTTTATGCACGATTGTTATAGCTCTGTATTTTGTCTCTGATCTATTGATTTGGTTTTGCTGACTAGATTGATTTATCTTGCAATGGGGAGAGGTGCTTTGTGATGGTTTCGATCTTGCGGTGCTCAATCCCAGTGACAGAAAGGGACATGACACATATGTATGGTTGCTATTAAGGGTAAAAAGATGAGGTTTATTCATATGTTAGTTTATCTTGTCTACATCATGTCATCTTGCTTAAGGCATTACTCCATTTTTTGTGAACTTAATACACTAGATGCATGCTGGATAGTGGTCGATGTGTGGAGTAATAGTAGTAGATGCAGTGTAGTTTCGGTCTAGTTATCTAGGACATGATGCCTATATACATGATCATTACCTTGGATATCGTCATAATTTATTTGATTTTCTATCAATTTCCCGACAATAATTTGTCTACCCACCGTGTGCTATTTTCTTGAGAGAAGCCTCTAGTGAAAAGTGTGACCCCCGGGTCTATCTTTTATGATATAAAAATCATAAAAATACTTGCTGCACATTTTACTTTATTTATTTTATTTTATATTTTGTGCGATCTATTTATCTATCACCATACAATTTAATCTTGCAATTGACCGCCAAGGGATTGACAAACCCTTGTTTGCGTTGGGTGCAAGGATTTGTTGTTCATGTGTAGGTGTTGTTTGCATAGTGTTGCTTTCTTCTCCTACTGGATAATAACCTTAGTTTCATAACTGAGGGAAATACTTATGTCAATTGTACTACATCATCCCCTCCTCTTCAGGGAAATCCCAACGCAGCTCACAAGTAGCAATTACCTCTCGAACCACCCTATGGTCAAGAGGCGAGGAAGGTATTCATACAACACACTCGGTACAATATTAAAGTCTTCCTCAAGTGGACAAAGGATGGACGGTCAATCATCCACATGCACTGGCCTAAAGTTGCAAGGACCTTCAACATCATTGAAACCTCAATATTCTCCTTCCGCTTCATCAGTTTTCCAAATGAGATTCATCTGTCTATCTACCATATATGATGGTAATTTCCAAAGGTTATAGATGTTGCGTGTGAAACTTGGTGCCGGTGCAGTTGTGTAATAGCTAGCTATATGCCTATATGATGTAACTGAGTGCTGAAGCTACATGCTGTTGTACTTTGATGTATTTCAATTATGAAATCCTGGTTCTGTTATACGAAAAGGAAATATATTGTGTGCTTAATCTGAAATGCCAATTAGATAAATAAATGAATTAATAATAATAGGCCAATTAGCCTACTTATTGGGTGTTTTTCGATTGCAAACGGTTATTGAGACAACACCGTGGGTGATGACCTCAGACAACCCACACAGTTTCTTGGATGTAAATGTGTTGGATCAATGAACAATCACACATGACCTACTCTAAAATATTGTTTGCATTAGGCCACCTTGCGCAAATGTTTTCCACAAAAAAGTGTGTGTGATGGAGAGTCTACGCCACATAGTTCCTTCTATGCACCGTGTGTGGTGCATTCAGTAACACAAATGATAAATTTGTTAATATCGTCTTCAATGGCAATGCTATGACAGACGATTTGATGGAGGAAATTGTGTGTGATGTACATGCGAACAGAAACATTTGCCTGGGATTCATCATGTGAGATGTACATATGAGTGGAAACGTATTTCTTGGATTGACTGTGTTGGACGTACATATGAACGGAAACATATTTCTTGGATTGACTGTGTGGCATGTACATACGAACAGAAAGGTATGTCTTGGATTGATGTACTTACAAACAAAAATGATTGGGCATGTATAGTTGTCTGCGATGGCTCGCTCGATCGCACACGAGCTCTTTTTGTCCCGTGTGTGTGACCGTAGGGCCTATCCCTAATGGTTTCTGGGTCGTGTTGGAAGGACCCCCCTCTATCGCACACATAGACAACGTGATGGCATAAAACTCCATCACGGAGAGGGGGTAAAAACCGTTTGTATAGCAGGTCGCTACACTAGTGAATACAAATACTAATTTTTTATAATACCAAATATGCTTGGAACAACTGCATCCATTCCCGCAACAACACATGAGGTTTTATCTCTAGTATTTAACAAAAGGATGATGTGTGTAAGGGTCCAATAATTTAACTTTTTTTCTCCTACAAAAAAGTCAAAGTTTATTTTGCACCAAATCATATAGTAATCCAAAATCAATTAGACATTAATCATTGTGATTTAATCCAAACTAAATATTTCTATTAATTTTCCTCAAAAAAATATTTTCATTAATTCTATACGAATTATACCTCGCGGCAATGCTCAATTGTGAACTAAAACATAGATTGGCGAATACAACCGAATATGGTAATGAATTTAGTGGTTGTATCTGTTTCTACTAAAATACGGATGGAAGAATTAAATGTAATTGATCAATGCACTCAAATCAAGCATGATATCTCAGCGGTGGCTTAAGGGTTCTTCTTCTCTGGTTTAAATCCTGGCTGTTCATGTAATGAAGATGAGGAAATGACTACTTTAAATGTAATGAATTCAAACCAGCGATTTTCAAATTTTTAAGAATGGCTAAACGAATGTTTTTTTAATGGAAAACTATGTTTTTTGTGAAGATGGAAATTTTCTTTAGCAAGAAAATGACAAATCAGAAAAATTATGTTGTCACGAGGAAGACAATTTCCTCAATATAAATTATCATAAAAAAAGGTCATTTTGTCATGCATACAAATCTAAGGTCATATTTTTGATATTTCTCAATCTGTTTGGAGCATTTAACTGGCATTGAATAATGGCCCAACTATTCCCAAGGATGCCGATCAATATATACGATCTTCAATGTCCACTAAAAAATGATCTTTCCAAGATCTCCCTGCACCTCCGCTCCCTGGCGCGTTGGTTCTGCATATCCGTCGTGCCGGCGGCCTCGTGCTATATATAGGGGCGCCCCACCACGCAATTGCCAAACACCCCACCGATTTCTTCTCTCTCTCTCCCTCTCTCTCTCTCTCTGGAGAAAGACAAACAAAAAAAAGAGGAACCAGAGTGGAGGGCCGCCGGAAAGGGAAGACAAGAATTGCGGAGGAGGTAAGTTCCACCGCCGAGATGCTCCGAGGGAAGGCAGGAATGGGTAGGGGCGGCACCGAGAAGCCATCCAAGGAAGAGGTCGTTGACCTAGAGATCAAACTGCCTGCCGACTGGGAGAGCGGGCTCGACCTGCCAGTGAGTCTCCCTCCTATTACTATTTAGATCTGCTTCTCTATTCTTTCGACCTTTAGTTGTATCTTCGTGTGATTTGTTGCACCTGCATAAGCGCGTGTTTGGTGCTTAATTAATTCACACTCATGTGGTTTCGGTCTGAGATGAAATTTCGAAGAATTATATAATTTGCTAGCTTAGACTATGTCCGGAGATCAAACCCATCTTCTTTGATTGATTTAATGGCATGATTATCAAAATTTTAGTTCTGTTGAACTCGGATTACAGAGTTCTTTCTCCTTCATGTTCATCATACATATTACTTAACCGGGTGAAAAATTCTTGTTTTTTTGCAGTCTGACAAGACGTTCTTGACTCCTCATCACCACCAGGCCACCCAAGAAGGCCACCAGGACCTCAACCTGCCTCCCACGGCATCCACCGCCGATGCCGTCACCACCACCTATGCGTTCTACACTCTCGACATGGTCCGCAACGCCCTTGAGCGTGCTGCCGCTGCTCGTTCCGCCACCTCACTGGACACGTCATCCTCCTTGTTGGCATCCACCTCATCCTCGTCCTCCTTTCTGGGAAAGCGCAATTGCTCGCCACCTTCAAGAATGGCACCACCGGTCGCGAACCCGGCTATCCGCACGTACGCGTGCCCGTCCTGCTTCACACATGTGCTCATCATCGAGGCCGAACCGTGGTGCCCACGGTGCGGATCGAAGGATCCGCCGTTCCCCAGTATTCCCATCGCCCACAATAGCTGGAAGAAGCCCAAGATTGATCTGAATGCTGACGCCGATGAGACCGAATGAATAAGAAAAGATGGAATACATATGTTTTTTTATTTTCTGGAGAACTTTCTCATGTAGTCAATTGGTTGGGGAAGCAGAAGGAGTAGGGGTTGCAATAGAATACAAAGGATTTGGGCCTCATGCCCCGGGCCAAGCCCTAGGGGTCTGGGTCCTAGATCCGCTACTAGGAAGGAGCCCCACCGTATTAAGAAATTACATTCTTCTTCATCGCCACAATGGCGGAGATCCAACTCGGCTCGGCCATGAGCTCTCTATCCTTACATATCAATTTTGATGAATCATCATTTGCATCAGCACCTCCACCTCCATAGCACCGGTGGCGATGCCACCCCAAATCAGGCTAGCCCCTCCCCCTCCCCCATGCTCCTTTGTGGTTGCAATGCCCTGTTGTTTAAGAAACTTCGCACACACCTGGGAATCTCAATTGAAACTTTTTTTGACATCAAAATACTATTTATTGCAAGATGATGACCATATTATCTTTTACCGGAGTATCAACAATTTCTATGGGAGGATCTTCCATCCACCCCACACACACCTTATTTCTAGCTAGTTTGGCTAAATCATGGGCATCACAATTAGTCTTTCTAGGAGCATGTTCAAAAATAATGTGAAGGAAATCACACACAAGGTGATATATATCGTAAAAAGCTGCCGCCGACACACCAAAAGAAGGACAACCTACATTCTCCATTGTTTCTGTCTCCTCGATATTGTTAGAGTTCACCTCTATGCGGTTACACCTGACTGTAGTTGTCAAATTGAGACTAGACTATAAGGTCGGTGCCTCGGCCATAAGCGCATGTCCGCACCAATCGAGTTCCCCGTTTCCTCCTATGACGAATCTGACATTCGAGTCTTTGATGACAGCATCATACGACCCCTTGAGTAAGTCTGGGTCAAAAGCCCCATCCATGTTTAGTTGCACATAGTTGCTCCTTGGTCTGTCCCAGCCATGTCGCTTGATTGTCGCCTTAGCATCACTCGTCATGCTATAGTTAGCAACCGAATCTTTGATATCTCATTGCTATGAACTTTGGTTCCTGGTCCTTTTCATTATGAACTAACTTTCTCCCCTCCCACCATAAATACCAAAAACCAATAGCAATTGCTTCTATTAAATTTCCCAAACCGAGGACCACATATTCTTTAGCTAGTTGTAGCAATAAATATTCTAGCACAGCTTCCCCTGCATGATTCACATCACATGTTTTATCAATAGCAAAGTCATAACCCAATAACTGCCATACCTCTTTAGCTTTTGCACAAGAGAATCCTCGCTCCTATACTGCATGTAGGACATTGCCACTAACTTTTATATGTCTGTTAGCCAAAGTTACCCGACATGGTCGCGATCCCAACAAAGTTTGCTAGAGGAAAATTTTAACCTTGGCAAGACAACTTAAGCTCCAGTCCCCCATATTGGTGAGTTCCGTGAGGGTCCGACTATATTTTCTCCTGATGTTTTATGTCCATATTGGCTTAGCTAGTCCATGCTACTTCTTGAGCTTGCGTTCGTTTTCCCTTGAAGAGGAAATGGTGATGTAGCAAAGTAGAGGTAAGTATTTCCCTCAGTTAAGAACCAAGGTATCAATCTATTAGGAGGAACACACAAGTCTCCAATGATTTCACCTACACAAACAAACAAATACTCGCACCCAAAGCGATAAAGGGGTTGTCAATCCCTTCATGGTTACTTGCAAGGATGAGATCTGATAGTGATAGATATAAAAGATAAGTAAAGGTGCAAAACAAAATAAAAGTAAATAAATTGTAGCAAGGTATTTTTGGGTTTTTGATTTTGTAGATCTGGAAATACTATGATAAACGATAGACCAAGTGGCCATATTTTTCACTGGAGGCTTCTCTGTTGAAAGAAAGCATATGATGAGTAAACATATTATTGTTAAGCAATTAATAGAAAAGAGCATAGTTATTGAACATATCTAAGGCAATGATCATGTATATAGACATCACGCTTGAGAAAAGTAGACCGAATCCTGCCTGCATCTACTACTATTACTCCACACATCGACCGATATCCATCATGCATCTAGTGTATTAAGTAATTAACAAGAGCGGAGTAACGCCTTAAGAAAGATGACATGATGTAGAGGGATAGATCCAATCAATATGAACAAACCCCATCTTTTTATCCTTAATGGCAACAATACAAATACATGTCATGTCCCTTTTTGCCACTGCGATTGAGCACCGCAAGATTGAACCCATTACATAGCACCACTCCCATTGCAAGAAAAATCAATCTAGTTGGCCAAACCAAATCAATAGATCAGAGAGATATACAAAGCTATATAAATCATGCATAAAAGAGTTCAGAGAAGACTCACATAATATTCATAGAGAATCTGAACATAAATCTACAATTCATCGAACCTCAACAAACGCACCGCAAAAGAAGATTACATCGAATAGATCTCCAAGAACATCAAGGAGAACACTGCATTAAAGATCAAAGAGGGAGAATAAACCATCTAGCAACTAGCTATGGACCCATAGGTCCTTGGTAAACTACTCACACATCATCGAAAGGGAAGCAAGGTTGATTTAGAAGAACACTATGATTGAATCTCCCACCGGTAGAGTACCAGAAAAGGCCCCCAGATGGGATCTCATGAGGACAGGAACATGCGGCGGCTGAAAAGTATTTTTTCTGTTCCCTCTGGTCTACGGGGAATATTTGGGTATTTATAGAAGAATTAAGGTTAGAGGAGCCACAGGGGGGGCATAATCTTGGAGGGTGCACCCCCCCCTTGGGCACGCCCCCTGAGCTTGTTCCCACCTCGTGGCCCTTCTGGCCTCCTCCCAAAGCTTCGAGGATGTCTTGTATTCAGAGAAAAATCATCAAAAAGTTTCGTTCCATTTGGACTCCATTTGGTATTGATTTTCTATAGAGGAAAAAACAAGGAAAGAAACAACAACTCGCACTGGGCACTAGGTTAATAAGTTAGTCCCAAAAATGATATAAAATATCATAATAATGCATATAAAACATCAAAGATGGATAATATAATAGCATGGAACAATCAAAGCTTGTAGATACGTTGGAGACTTATCAAGCATCCCCAAGCTTAATTCCTGCTCATCCTTGAGTATGTAAATGATAAAAACAATTTTCTTGACCTGGAATGCTACCTAACATGTTTGTCATGTAACCTTCATTTATGTGGTATGAATATTCAGATCCATAAGATTCAAAACAAAATTTTAATATTGACATAAAAGCAATAATACTTCATGCATACTAAAAAGCAATCATGTCTTTTCAAAATATCATGGCTAAAGAAAGTTATCCCTACAAAATCATATAGTCATGACATGATCCATCTTCTTAACACAAATTATTTATCATGCACAACCTCGATGACAAGCCAAGGAATTGGTTCATACCGTAGCTTTATAACTCTCAGCAATACATGAGCGTGAGCCATGGATATAGTAGTATGGGTGGAATAGAGTATGATGTTGGAGGTTGTGTGGAGAAGACAAAAAAGAAGAAAGGCTCACATTGAGAAGGCTAAACAACAGGCTATGGAGATGCCCATCAATTTATATCAATGCAAGGAGTAGAGATTGCCATGAAACGGATGCACTAGAGCTATAAGTGTATGAAATCTCAAAAGAAAACTAAGTGGGTGTTTCCAACTTGCTTGCTCGTGAAAACCTCGGCCATTTGAGGAAGCCCATCATTGGAATATACCAGCCAAGTTCTATAATGAAAAAATCCCACTAATAATATATGAAAGTGACAAAATAGGAGACTCTCTATCATGAAGAACATGGTGCTAATTTGAAGCACAAGTGTTGAAAAAGATAGTAACATTGTCCCTTCTCTATTTTTCTGTCATTTTTTCTTTCTTTTCTTTCTTTTCTCTTTTTTTCTTTGTTTGTTGGGCACTTTGGACTATCTTTTTTCTTGGGCTTATTTGACCTCTTTTTTTATTTATATTTCTCAAATGGGAAAATACTCTAATAATGAGTATGATCATCACACTTCTATTTACTTAGAACTCAAGAATTACAATTCAATACTAGAACAAAAATATGACGCTATATAAATTCCTCCGGTGGCGTACTGGGATGTGCATGATCTAACGTGACATGTATAAAACATCTGAACGGTGGCGGAGCCACAAATACTATGCCAACTATATGATCATGCAAAACAATATGATAATGATGATATGTATGTCATAATAAAACGGAACGGTGGAAGTTGCATGGCAATATATCTCAGAATGGCTACGGTAATGCCATAATAGGTAGGGATGGTGGCTATTTTGAGGAAGATATAAGGAGGCTTATGTGTGGTAGAGCGTATCATATCACGTTGTTTGGATGCACCAGCAAAGTTTTCACCACAACTCTAGGTGAGAAGGGGAAATGCACGGTACTGAAGAGGCCGCTGAAAGGTAAAAGGGCGTATAATCCATGGACTCACATTAGTCATAAAGAACTCACATACTTATTGCAAAAGTTTATTAGCCCTCAAAGCAAAGTCTACTACATGAGCTCCTAGGGGTATAGATTGGTAGGAGAAGACCATCGCTCGTGCCCGACCGCCACTCAAAAGGAAGACAATCAATAATAAATCATGCTCCAATTTCATAGTACAACGAGAGACCATACGTGCATGCTTCGGGAATCACAAACCTCAACATCAATATTCTTACTAAAACACAATTACTCACTAGCATGGATCTTAATAACCATCTTTATATCTCAAAACAATTCCAAGGAATGAAACTTCTCATATATTCAATGATCTTCATGGAAGTTTTTATTATATCCCTCTTGAATACCCATCATATTAGGACTAAATTCATAACCTAAGAAAATTGCCAGACTATTTATAAGACTCACAAAAATAATATAAGTTAAGCATGAGAGTTCATCAATTTGTTTAAAATATAACCACCGCCGTGCTCTAAAAGATATAAGTGAAGCACTATAGCAACTGCCTAGGTCACAAGATATAA